GCACCACCCAAATATTGGCTGCTGCCCATGGGAGGCAGTGGCTGCTGTGGCAGAGCAGAGCATGGAGCCCCGCTTCCTTTCCCCCATGGGCAGCACCACTGGAGTGGAGTCAGGGGGGAGGGGGTTTGGATGTGGGCTGGTGACTCTGGGCTTGGGGCTCCCTACCCTGCTGCCCTCCCCTGGGGCCTCTGCAGCCCAGGAGCGAGACCCAGAGCAGCAAAGCAGAATAGGGTGTGGAGGCTCAGTGCTGCTGCCAGGAACCTGGTGCCACCATGACAAGGTGCCTCCTGCACACCCAGCAGCAGTGGTGGGTGCAACTCTGTGCTGCTACTCCCAGTGCTGCCAGGCAAGTAGCCTTGCCATGGCTGCATGGGGCTCCTGACAGCGGCACTGAGCCTCTCTGCCTTGCTGTGCCAGGTCCTGCCTGCTGGACTGTGGAGGCCCTAGGAGGCTTGAGCCCTAGCCCTAACCCTGCGATACTCCCTTTTTCCCTCCCTTACTATGGTGGCCTCAATACCACCCTCACCTCCCCCCGACTTACCTGTAGGGAGCTACTGCGCTCATGCTGCCTGGCTGCTAAGTGCACATGTGCATGCACCCCCTACCAGAATCCCCTCCTCCCGCTCCCCCCAGCCCCTTGGAGGCTGGAGCTCTGCCAGCCTACAAGGGGAAACCTACTGTTTCCTACATTTTTCTCCTTTAAAGGAGAAAATCAAGGGGGGTGGGTTCTGCTTAAACAGAAAATCTGCCTTTTACCATGGCAAACAGAAAACCTGGATCCCTGCTTATCACCAGTAGCATTCCAACTTCTGAATGTACTGACCCTTGGATTTTAGTTCAATCCTAATCTTTTTAATGACCTCTTCTTTGTTTTGCACTTGTGATTAACATTGAGTATCTCAGTCCCATCATTTTGAAACTGAACAAATGTAAATTGAAAAATTAACTAGCTAGAAAATTTTAGCTTGTTCTTAAGATACTAACATCTAAACATCAGAAAACCAATTTACCATGATCTACCGTGCTGCTTCATTAGAACACAAGTTCAGCTAAAAAGACCAGTGGGCTTGAGACACCCAAATTCCAACTCCCAGGACGCACCAAAAGGGAATTTTAGAACTTAAACTTTCTTTTGAGCCTTTGTTTTTTTGGGGAAGGGTAGGAGAGAGAGTGTGATTGTAATCTTAGTCCTGAGGGGTTAGGGGACAGGAAAGTTGCTAAAAAAAGTTTTTTCCAAGAAACACAGGCAGAAAACCCTTTTTTTCAGCCAGTTAGAAACATGTAACATCTGCCTAATTTATTGTACTTAGTTGTGGCTAGTGATTTCAAGTGCTTCTTGCAGTTATTAAACTTCTAAACTGTTGCTTTCTTTGTCTTTAGAACTCTTCCTAACTGAAGAAGACCAAAAGAAGCTTCATGACTTTGAAGAGTTATGTGTTGAGATGTATTTTAACGAAAAGGATGATAAATTCCACTCTGGCAGTGAAGAGAGAATCCGAGTCACTTTTGAACGGTAGAACTTATGAAGAAATTTTAAAAATGTTAATCTTTGAGTTCCTGAAATATGTTTTAATAGGCAATTACAGTGCATGTAGCTACAGATGCAAAATATTTGTGACAGTTGAGTTTGACGATTTTCATGGCTACATTGAAGTTAATCATGCAGAATGTTTTGTTACTTGCATTTCTGAATTATAGAATAATTTCTACTTGTGAATTCCCAGTAAAATAAGATTTTTTTTTTTTTGTATTGTTTAGCTTTTTTGAAAAGATTTTCTTAAATGTAGGTGTTAGGCAGCAGTACTAGAGAGCAGGCATGTCAAAGATATGGCCTGTGGTCTGGATATGGTCTGTAGAGGCCCATCATCCATCATCAGTGTTGCCTCTGGGTCTTAGATTGACATATACACCACACACGGTATGCATCACACTACATGCAAGGCTCAGGATGTGTGCCACACTTGGTGCCTGCTAGGACTGTGCAAAGTTTCGGTCCCTGATTCGATTTGGCAGAGATTAGGCCTGTTTTGGTGGCCAAATCCAAATCGAATCAGGAGACTCTTTAATCTCTCCCTTTAATCGAATCAGAACCCTCCAAATCAATTCCAAAAGATTCGGCGGTTCGGACATAGACATAGCTTAACTCAAGGTGCCAGGCGGCTCATGAACACTGCAATGGTGGGGTGGATGGAGTGTCCCACGGGAGCATGGGGGGCTCCCCAGTGTGCTCAGCAGCAGACCCAGAAGTGGACCAGAAGCACTTCTAGTCCACTTCCAGGTCTGCTGGGGAGTGTGCGGGGAGGGGAGCCCCCATGCTTCCCCCCGCTTGGCAACTGGTGCCTCCTGGGTCTGGCGGGGCACCCGGGGTCCCTCAGTGGCCGATTGCTGAGCCAGGGGGCATAGGGGATCCCCTGCATGCTCCCCGGCAGACCCAGAAGTGGACCAGAAGTACTTCTGGTCTACTTCGGATTTGCCACTGAGCATGCGGAGAGCAGGGGCGGGGGGGATGCTCCTGTTGGACGCTTCATCCACCCCAGCATTGCAGCATTCGCGAGTTGCGCCTAATACCTCAAGATATGTTGAAAAAACATTTAAAGCTGTGTTTATGGCCGAATCACTGATCCTC